GCAACGTCACTTGTGTTTTTGTGCCCTTAGATTTTTTCCTGTTTTGCAGTGTTTGGCTGGGACCCCCGACTCCCCCGAGGCCCGGGGGTCAGGGTTCCCACTGAAGTCAGGAGCGACCTGGCCTGGCCGGCGTGACCCCTGCCTGGAAGATCATGCCATAATCACCCCTCGGAGAAGGCAGCAGTGGCTTTCGGCCATCACCCAGAGTGGTCACGGGGAAGACGCTGATGGCTCCGTGGGCTGCTCTGACCTGGCCAAGGACACCACGCCAGGGTGGAGGTCAAAGCTGCCTGGGGGTCCCCGGCTCTGCCAGCAGCTCTGGCCTGGCCTGCGCCCCCTGCTTGACCTCTCTCAGCCTCAGTTACCCCACCTGTAAAGTGGGGGGACGCCCCTTGCCTGTCCCAGCTGGAATGGCATCAAGAGAGATGTCACTGTCACTGAGCATCGTGAAGGAGCACCTGCTACGTGCAGGGACTGTCCTACACACCGAGGGCAGAGCACCAAGTGCCAAGTCCCCACTCTCGGGGGAGCAGAGGCTGGCACCAGAGGCCGGGCTGCAAAGGAGCTGACGGGCCAGGGGACTGCAGTGGCAACCTTGGTGCCACGAGAGCCAGAGATGGGCAGGTGCACCCTGAGGACGGCAGACAAGGCCTCGACCTGAGGCCCAGGAGACCGCAGCTTTGTAAAGAAACAGTGGAGGAACGTCCTGGGAGCAACGCCAAAGCCCCCCGCCCCAGGAAGGAGCACGGGCTGCGAGGACAGAGCAGCAAGACGGGCATCACCCGGCGAGGCCGGGGCAAGGCCTGCAGCGGGCAAGGCCAGGGGCAAGGCCCGAAGAGCCAGAGAAGGGCCAGATCTCACAGGTCCACCTAAGTCAAGAAAATAATTAAAAATAGGAGTAGAAACAACACGATAACTATTATTATTACTGCTGCTATAAATAAGATGCCATTTTCCAAAACACCGAGCGGGCTGGCGGCGGAGCCGCGCCCCCTCCCCCTGTTTTTCCAGCTCCAGTGTCATCTTGCTGGAGTGGAAACTGCCGATCCCACTTGAGTTGACAGCTATAAAAAGAACCTTGGAGCCCGTGGTGCCGATGACCTAGCGCTGGGCTAAGATTAGCCGCGAGGCTGTCACCTTCCTTAATGCGAGAAACAGCTGGGGTTCCCCTTGGAAAACTCGGCTGCTCCACCCGCCCGCAGCGCCCTGCCGGCCAGCGTGGCCATGGAGATGGGCGCCGGGACGGGTTTTGGAAAGAAGAGATTGAGCAACAGGGATTCCCCCTGCGAGAGGCGGCCAGGCGGGGAGGGGGGGGCCTGGGGTCAGGAGCAGGCCCAGCGGCCTGCGAGTCCAGAGGGCTGCTCTGCCGGAGCCGCCGGGGGCTGACGCCCACCCAGGGAAGCCACCCCTCCTCGGGGGCCCCAGGTGGCTCAGACGCCCTGGCTGGTGTCTTGTCCTCCACCCGGGAGCGGCATTCACCTGGGGTCTCTGGAAGGCACAGAGGTTCCCCGACGCCAACCACAGAATTCAAAGGCCTCTATCGTCACAAGACGGCTCCAGGGAACCGGCTTTCCCAGAGCAGGACAGCTCATGGTGCAGGCCGCCTAGAGCCAAAGGTCACCCCTGCCACTGGCCAGCTGTGTGAGCTTCACCAAGTTACTAGACTTGTCTGTGCGGAGGCTGAGACACTGGAGGTCAGCAGCTTCCTGTGGAGGGCTGTCACCAAGAGTCAGAGTACTTCACACAGCAGAGTGCTTGGCCCCAGGCTGGGCCCGATGTTCGTTATTATTACTTCTTATTGTTTTTTAATGACTCTTGGTTCCATGAGGCGGACTCTTCCTCATGTTTGTTCTTCTACAGCCAAAGGACAGTGATGATAACAATAAAAGCCAACACTTACTGAGCGTTTTCACTGGGCCAAGCCCTGTGCAGACAGCCCACCCCATATGGCCTCACCACCTGCCCTCACCTCCCAGGAGCAGTGAATCGCTGGCATTTGACAAAAGAAGAAGGGCTGCCTCAGAGAGGTATAGCCACTGACCCAGGGTGGCACAGCTACCACCTGCCGATCAGGGATTCAAACCTGGGCCATTAACCTCTGAGCCTGTACTAGTGACAGGTCCCAGCCCACTCCCCACAGGTCACCCAGCCCAGGCTAGTGCAGGAGCAGAATGTAGTGACCATATATGACATGGTCCTGAAGGACCACAGAGGACCATAAAAATGACAAGGGACATGGGGTGAGAACCCTGCACAGTGGCCACAGCTGCCCACCTCCAGGGGACTGTCCACTTCACAGAGGGGAAAGTGAGGTTCCAGGGGACGGAGTAGAGGACAAGACTGCATATCGCCCATGACAGAGGCCCCCACCCCTCAGAGTGTCACCCTGTGTCTCCCAGACACCCACAGGGTTGACAAGGTGGCACTCACAGAGCCACAGGCCAGGGCCACCCAYGGCTCTCGAGGGGCTGTGGGGTCCATCTTTCCACATGCGGCTTTGCCAGAGCTGAAACCAGCTTGGCGCATCCGTCCCACCTGAAGGTCGTCTGGAGGTCAATGACTGGGACCCGAGGGTGAAGGTGGACCCTTCACCCAACCCCAACCCTAACCACCCACCCACCCACCCACCTGCCAGCTGGCCACACAACACGTGTCGAACCGATGCCCTCAGGCAGCTCAAAGTCACTGCGCCCTGAGACTCTTGAGAGCGCGCGGAGGCCCGGCTCCAGGGGACTTGGAAGGGTCCACCTCACGCCCTCCCGCCCAGAGGCTCTGTCGACCTGGGCTTGTCCTCAGCCAGAAAGGGACTTCAAGGGATGTCCTTGCTGTCGAAGGCAACAGGGCGGTTTCCTGGGGATGCAGCGGGATCTCGTCTGGAGAGGCAGGTCCTGCTCGGTCATTTCCACTTCATGTCACTCTCCTGCCCAAGAGCCCACCAGGACTGCCTGTTCCCTGACCGAACCTGGACCAAGCCAAGGCCATGTCTTCCTGGCGCCGGGAGACTTCTCATTCCGGCCTCTGCCTTTCTCCCTACCCCTCCCAATGTCACGCAGCCTCAATAATAAAGGAGGCCCAGTGGCCCAGGGAGGGAATGCAAAGCCACCGTCAAAACTCAGGTCCTCGGAGTGTTCAGTACCTGCATAAATGTCCACGATGCAGGACTGAGACACAAACATGGAAAACTTGTGGTGAGCCCGGGACCCCTTGGGTGGCGGGTCAGGCCCACGCTCCCGTCAGCACCCAGTCTCAGAACCGCCTGGGGCAGGTGTGCAGGTGTCTGAGGGCAGGAACTGTGTGTGGCCTGGGGGYGGGCACAGGCAGAGGTTTTCAGATGTCCGCCATCTGGAACTTTCCTCAACCCTGTTCATCTCCTTGTCCCTAGTGACCTCTAAGCCATACAGCAGGAGGTCTCAGCCAGGGGTGAGTTTGCCTCTGGGGCACATTTGGCAATGTCTGGAGACGCTTTTGGTCATCACAACTTGGGCAAGTGCTACTGTCACCGAGCGGGGGCTGGGCAGGGGCTACCGAACACCCTCAGAGCAGAGGATGCCTGGCGATAACTAGGTGGCCTGCATGGTCCACGCCCAGGCACAGACACTGCACCCGCCCCCTCCCGTCCTCCACCAACTCTTCTGTCACGGCCAGCAGGCTTGCTGTTACTTGGGTCCCCCAAGCTCTGTCCTGCCTCCCCGGGATCCCTGATTTCCAGGGATTTTGCCTTTGCTGACCCTTCCCTGTCCCCTCCCTTCTGCCTTAGAAGTCCTCTGCCCAGGCAAGTGACAAGTCCCCAGCCTGCTGTCTCCACTCTCCCTTCCCCTACCGGAGGCTGCCCTGGGAAGTCAAGTCCATTCCCAGGACTTTAACAGGGACCTCAAGGTCAACGGCCCCCACAGCAGTGGCCCCAGCCAGGTCTGCCGCGTTCATCAAGACCACGCGGCCGACACCTGGGGGCCTCTCGCCTTTTCGGAGGCATGACTGTGGCTGATCCAGGAAGGCCCAAGGCACAGCAACCCAACCCTTCCATGTACAAAAGGGGACCCGCAGCCCCACCAGSCGCGTCTCCACCCAACCACTTCTCCTGCGCAGCAAACCTCAGCTGGAGGGGGCAGCTCAAAGTCAGTCACCTCAGCGCCCAGAAGAGCAGCAGCCRAGTCTGCCCCTCGCCCAGCATTTCCAGGGCATCCAGAAACAGGATATGAGCCGCGCTCAGAGGGGCACGCGGTGGGCACCGGATCCACACCTTTTTTTGAATTTTTTTTTTTTTTTTTAAAAGACCCATCTGGGATGGCGAGAAACGATCGCGGACGTGGTGGAAGGTTCAGTTTGCAGATTTCTGGAAGAGAACTTAGCCATAACTTAAAGGCTTCCAAAGGACTCTGCTGCCGGGAGCCAACCCTCAGTGCACAAAAAAAGATGCCCACAGAGACGCAGGCCCCACAGGAACTACCCTCAAAGAGCAAGCATGACCACGGCACTAACTAAAGTAAAAGTGTTGCCTCGTCTATGATAAGCTGGTGCTGTGATGACCAGACACTTATCAATTCATTTCACAGTCATGACAACCTCCGGGTGACAACTCCAGTCACGGTCATCGATGTAGGAAGGAACCGAGGCCCCCAAAGCTCATGTGATTTCCCTGAGATCCCAGGGCAAACAACTGGCTCAGCCTGTCCGTGAACCCAGGAACATTCGGGGCCACAGCTCAGCCAGCTCAATCACCAGGCTATTTGGCTTCTCTCCTTCAAAGAGGAAAAAAGTTTCAAAAATTTGTCTATGTAAAAAAAAAAGAATTTTTTTTCCTCTTTAAAGGGAAGAGAGGAGGGTGGGGACAGCTTAGTATCCGTTCAACAGCAGATTCAAACGTGGTGGCCTATCTGTGGAGCTGGGACTTGGTGGCTGCCCCATGGGTGAAGACGGCCAGTAAAGAGAGCCGGTGTGAGTCCCCCCGCCAGGCCCTGCTGCAGCGCAGGGGACAGAGGGCAGCAGCCCCCAGCACTGACCTGTGGTCTTCTCCGTGAACACGACCTTGGACTCGGCCGTGAAGTTCTGGCCCGTGAGGATCATCTGCTGGCCCCCGTAGACCAGGCAGCTGTCGATGTCCTGTCTCTCCACCATGGGCAGCTCGTGGGCGGACCGCTGGGCTGCGGGCAAGAGGGAAAGAGGTCACTGTGACGGGAGAGAGCTGCTCGGGAGAGCCACACGATTCCACAGGACACGGTCAGCCCACCTCTGTCACCTGCGGTCGTGCACATGTGGACTCCCACCCCTGACAACAGGGAGGTCTACAAACATCACGTTCTCCTGAAGGTGCCCGGGTGACCGGGACCGCTTTCCTCCCCACAGCGAGGTTTTGTTTTTGTTTTCATGAATCCCAGGACCTACCGACGCCTGTCCGCAGCAGGCCAGGGGAATAAGAAAGTGGCTACTTCCTAAGGGGCACAAGGTCGCTGTCCTCTCCCCTGCATCTGTCAGAAACACCTGCTGGACGCTGGACACGTTCCTGGAGGATGGGTTTGTCTGTTCACTCTGGAACCATCTGTGATTCCCACTGTCACCTCCAACACACGCACGTGCCCCACCACCTCACTTCCTAGGACTCCCCGATCACGCTGCTTCTGCACGCTTCCAGAACCTTCTCTCGTCTGCATGGGGCATCCCATGCATGGGTGCCTTCTGGCAATCTCTTCCCCAGTGCTGTTGGCTCCCGGGGCTGCCTTAGCCCCCTGTTCTGAGGGTTGGCCCCACGGGAACCCACAGCCCCCCAGGCCCGGGGTCGGCCCTCCCCCTCCCCCGCACTCTGCTTTCTGGTGTGGCCTTCGGAGAACTTTCCTCTCTGATACGTTTTGTGCCGCTCTCCCCGCTCATCTCTTTTCACCTCATCCTCCACCAGGAGCCAGGGCTTCCCTTGGGTCCTGCTCTGCGTCTAAGCCAGAATCAGTGCCGGCTCCTGATGCAGGAGGCTGAGCTGGTGGGTGGGGGCACAGATGCGGGTGGAGGGTCCCCTCCGTGTCTCTCTCAGTGTGTTTAACAACAGCCGTTGGTGAGAGACAGGGGCGAGGACAGGCCTCTGCCAAGCACCAAATGAGACAGGACCCTGGGACGCCCACAGCGACCTGAGGAAGGGGACATGAAAGTCACCCGCACTTGACTGGGTAGGAACTAAAGCCGAGAGTCAAGTCAACCCGTGGCCAAGTGGTGTCTGGCGAGGCTCGGATCACAACCCTCTTGAGCAGGCCTGTCCAGCCCCAGAGCCCAATCTCTCCGCCCCTTGGGCCACCACTGGTCCTTGCGGAAGGCCAGCTGCAGCAGACAATGAAGACAGTGGCCTCTGCTGCTCCCCGGGCAGGTGGGAAGCGGCCTCGGCCACATCAGAGCCCCACCTCTCTGCCCCTCGCCAGCTCAGCCGGGAGGCCTCCCTTCTCCCGCCCCTTGGTGAGTCAGCCCCAGCTCTTGGCCTTCCTCCCGGAGCTCAGAGCACTGGGCAGCAGGCCAGCCCCTTCCATGCCAGAGGCCTGCAGACCTCCCCATCCGGGAGCCTGGGCAGCAGCCGCATGAGGCCCAAGGCCCAAGCTTAACCCTTCCCTCCTGGCCTGCGCAGGCTCGGGGCGGCCGTGAGCGTCCCTTTCCACCTGTCCCAGGCTACTGGGGCCACACTGATGGAGCAGCCAGGCCCCTGGCCACACTGCAGGGGTCTGTCCTGCGCGCCAGACGGTTCCAGACACTGCCCCCGGGAAGCGCAGCCCAGCAACCCTCAACAGTCCCCTGCCCCTGGCTCCGTCTCTGAGTTCCCGGAGACCAGCCTGGCAGCACTCTGGCAAGGGGTGCCCGCTCGCTCACGGATGCAGTAAAGGGCCTCTCAGCAGAAGCTGCTAATTCCTCCCACATGGCTGGTTATTAATCCTTTCTTTCAATATTGGAGTTCCGCGATGGCTCCTGACTGAGCTGCCACAGATGGAGATTTATTAGCAGTGACAGCGGCCGCTGCAGGCCCAGCCTGAGATCTGCCTTTGATGACGCTGGGGGGCTGCAGGGGCCTGGGGCACAGGGCAGGGTGGGGAGGTGGCCAGAGCCACCCCTCCCATTTCACAGGTGGAAAACCTGAGTCATCGCTACTGGGCAAGCCCGCCAAGGGCCCGCAGCCAGCCAGCCCGCCTGGCGGGGACTGGACGGGGCAAGCTGGGTGCTGGGCAGGACGCTGGCCCGGAGGGACGCTCTGTGAATCACCGCCCTGCTGTGGGCACGCTCGCCCACTTCCTGAGGCCACCTCACGGCTTCTCCTGCCCGTCGCACAGCCCCAAGCACTGCCTGGTGGCCGTGGTCGGGCGGCGTTTCCTCCTCTGTGCTGAAGGGAACTTGTCCCTCCAACGAAAAGCTGGAGAGAGAAAAGGGAGGGCAAGAGGAGTCCGGGGGCTGCCGACACGCCCCGTCCAGCCCTGCAACTCAGACAGAGGCCCGGCTTCAGGAGCCAGGCTACAAAGGCAGGGCTCAGCCCTCCCTGCACCCAGTTCCAGGGTCCCAGGGAACCCCAGAGCAGCCCGCTCTTCCAGCAGCACATGGAGTGAGCCGGGACCGAGACGCTGGACACACAGGCCTGCTTCCGCTGGACCACCTCGGCCTCCGCACGGCCGACACGCAGGGCTTGGCCATCCTCCTTTGGGAGGTGGTTCTGGGCACCGCGGGGTATTTAGCAGCATCCTGGTTTCAACCCACCAGATGCCCCGCCCTCACCCCTCTCCCAGCTGCAGACATGACTAGATGTCCCCTAGGGAGGAGGAAAGGGCACTACTGTCATCCCTGGTGGAGAGACAGTTCTAGAGATTCTAACTTAAATGGTCCGAGGGTACGACCCCAGTGTAGACTGTATTTAAAAAAAAATAAAATTAAAAGATAGTCCTGCTGGGCATAGTGTCACTCGCCTATCATCCCAGCGACCCAGAGGTAAGGCAGGAGGATCACATGTTTAATACCAGCCTGGGCAATTTAGTGAGGCTCTATCTGAAAATAAAAAATAAAAAGGGTGGGGATGTGGCTCCGTGGAAAAGCACCCTGGGTTCCATCTCCAGTGTCCCTCCCCCCACTAAAAGACAATCCTGATGGTTCCAGTGGGCCACAGCCAGTGCAAGCAGAGCGCTAGCAGCAGCAGGAGAGCACACACCTACACACTGACAGGGTTTTGAGTCTGGCAATCTGCCACCCCGTTATTGGTCACTTCTCTGAGTCATGGGTGTCTCCTCAGTGACACCCGCTCTCAAGGGCCTGCTTCACGCAGTACAAGAGATCACATGTGTCGATACGTGGTCAGAACACGGTGGGTAAACTATCTGCCATGGACCCAACTGCCCACGGATGGACAAATGGATAAACGGAAGGCGATCTCACCAGGCAGAATACACTCAGTCACGTCAAGGAGCCAAACACCAACACCTCGGACGCCTGGTGCTAAGTGCGAGGAACCAGTCCCAGAAGGACAGCTGTCGTACCTCCCCATTTATCTGAAATGTCCAGTGGTCAAACGCACAGGAGGGAGAGCAGACTGTGGAGACCAGGGGCTGGGAGGGATGGCAGCGACTGGTAACAGGCACCGGGTTCCTTTTTATGGTGGTGACAATGTTCTAGAACTAGACAGCGCTGGTGGCTGCACCCTGCTATGCATGAACCTGAGGCCCCTGAATCGTACACTTTAAGGTGGTTACAATGTAACTTTAGCGTCACTCGTACTTGGACACAATAAAAGATCTGATTACCACAAAACCACCCAGCCCGTGCCTGGTGCCCAGCAACACCCAGGGAACTGCAGCCTGTTAACTCTCTGGTGCCCTAAGTCCCCCCAGTGGGGTCAGCGATGCTCCGGGCCACGTCTGCAGCCACCACTGCCCAAACTGCAGGTTCAACTCACAGCCCTGGGCTGGCCGTTACCGAGCCTGTGTGACCGCCCACGCGACCCCCGGGGGCACCTGTTACCACTGTGGTTCTTGGTGGATTCTGTGCCTAATCCAGGTCCCCTGACACTGGCTGCCACAGGCAGCAGAGTCACCCAGCTGGGACAAACTCTCAACTAAGCTGCAGAAGGCCAGCGGGCAGTGCCCAGACCTCTCAGGCAGGGGCCAGCCACGGGCAGCTTAACCATCTCTCCAGGCCAGTTACTCCACTCATTTGTTGGGCACCGAGTTCCACATTAAGAGGCCACCTGAGGACGGGGAACTCCTCGGGGCAGGTCCCCAGTCCTCAGAGAGCCCAGAGGCAAAGCAAACAAACCCAATGAGCCTCTAAAAGAGGAACTGGGGGGGGATGCAGCAGCCACAGACATGGCCTCCGGGGCCCTCATCGCCATCTGATGCAACTTCCGCCACCTGTGGCCGCTAATTGGACACCCAGGACCTCAGGGAGGGCTCTCAGGAAGCCACGCTCCAGGGGACCCCGCCGACACCCATTCAGCTTGTCATTCATCTGGAGACTCCGACCATCCAAAGCCCCAGCGGCTGGTTTTCTAACCAAAGCCCGGGCCTGGGGTTATAGCCACCCCCGAGGGTGCGGCCTGGCCTGCTGGAACGGCCACCCCGACCCCTGCTCCAGCCTCCAGGTGGCCCTGGCGAGGACTCCCAGGCTCTGCTGCTGCTCCGGCTTCTGGCCGTCCTAAAGGGGCTCAGGGTCCTGTATTTTGTGAGTCCACGGGGGTCGCTGGCATAGGCGGCCGGGTGTTTACCTTCACTGGCAACAGCGCCACCCCGGGAGCAGCAGCAGCAGCCCGCGGAGGCCCCAGGGGAGAAACAGGACACTGGGCCCGTGTGCAGCACATCCTGTCACAGGACTGGGTGGCCAGAATGACGGTCTACCCAAGAACCAGGAGGGAGGCGGAGGAGGCCGGCCCACCCAGAGAGCCAGCCCTGCAGGGGGCGGTTCTGTGAACCCGGAGCAGTGACCGCCACCTAGGGGGCCCGGCTGCCAGGCACATCACGAACTTACGTCCACTCATGTCGTCAGGCACGCCCGTCACCAGGCCATGTCACCTTTGCTGCTGCAGCCTGACGGCCGAGTCCCCAGCCCAGGCCAGCAACAACCTGGCGTTGGGACTTGGGGCCAGGAGTGGGACTCTCCATGCCTCCACTTTCTCATTGTCAATGGGAACGAAAGTGCCACCAGC